CTCCCCCCTCTCCCCTCCTCCCACTCTCTTTTTTTAATTTTTTTTATTATTTTGTGTGTGTGAGTGTACCGTCAAATCAGATCTGACTGGTACCGGAAGAGATTGTTCCTCCTTCTCCAACAGAGCAGCTGGTGGATTTGAACCGTGCACCTCTGGGATTCCAGTGCAGCTTCTTGCCACTAGGCCACCAGAGCTCTCCTCTCTTTTTCCCCCCCTTTTTTATTTTGTGTGTGTGTACGTGTGTACCGTCAAATCCGATCTGACTGGTACAGGAGGAGATTGCCCCTTCTTCTCCAGCAGAGCATCTGGTGGATTCTTACCTCCGGAATTGCAGTACAGCTTCTTGCCTCTAGGCCACTCTTTTTTTTTTTTTAAACAAACTCGAGCTTTTCAAGTCCAGGCTACAGAATTCCTACTTTTGCCAGAGCAATATTATCTTCGTGAAGCAGAAGTCAGTTAGATGTATATATGTACACGGTGATGTGTACTATGAAAAAAAGTAAAACGGAGAAACAACTCAAATGTTCGTGAACTGATGAGTAGGTGAACAAAATTTGATGGATCTGTGCACTGGAATGTCATCCAGCTGTAAATGCTAATGAAGTTAAGATATATGCCACAAGACAGATGAACTCTGAACATGTGCCATTTAAAGGACACCGAAAACAAAGCCACATACAAGACTATGAAATGCCCATAAAAGGCTATTAAGGAGTGGCTACTAATGGGTGATGAAAATGTTCAGGAAGGAGCTAGAGATTATGTTTGTACAACATTTGTGAATATTACTGTCATCATTGAACTATTTTTGAGTTATAAATGTCATGTTTCTTTTACCATAAACCAGGAGGGTATGTGAAGATGTGCAAGTTTTCTTTTTAAAGGAGCCTTTAATTACAAAACAGTTGTTAAGACTTTGTTATTGTTGTTAATTGCTGTACAGTTAAGAACCAACTCACAGCTGATCACCCTCTGGGAGGTTTTCAGAGGCAGTAAACCATTTGAAAGATTGTTAGTCCAGGGAATTCTAGAACATCTAGTCAAATGCACCAACTGTTTACATCTTTATTTTCTACTGTTTACCAAGATGCAGTGTTTACATTTTGCCTCATTTTTATCATTCTCTGTATAAATATTTGCAAACATAACTTTTCCCTCACCAAGCCAACGGCGAGTCTTCGTCTGACATACTTTGGGCATGTTGCAAGTTTGGAAGGGTGGAGGGATCGTGAAAGAGAGGGAGACCATCAAAAAGATAGATTGGCACAGTGACTGGGGTAATGAGGGGAGGTGTGTAGGAAACAGTAACGTTGTCACAGGATAGAGCAGATTTCCTGTTGTACATAGCTACTCGACAGCACATAACAACAAACAACAATGGAGAGTAAAACTGGAGATGTCTAGAAATCTCATGTATTCCCAAACAACAGACATTCACTTCAAAGTTACAGTGCAGTGATTAAAAGCAGGAAATTTAACTTTGATACACTACTACTATCTAGACCATAGTCCTTACTAAAATTTTATCAAAGCATTTTTTAATGTCCAGGATTGTAAATGAAGTTATCATGTCTCTTTTAATCTCTTTTTGTCTTGTTATTCTTGAAAAGGACAGACCAGTTATTTTATAGAAAGTCCTTCAATTGCAATTTGCCTATTTCCTCCTGATTGAATTTGGTCTATGCATTTTTCTGTGTACATATTAGGAACTCTGGTGGTGTAGTCCATAGGTTTTGCTGGTAACCCAAAAGTCATTTCTCTCTGATGGTTCAAATCCACCAGCAGCTCCATGGGAGAAAGATGGACAATCTTCTCTTGTTCAATTTACAGCCTCGGAAACTCAAGGAAAGGTCAGCTATGAGTCAGTTCCAACTCAACAGCAATGAGGCCTTTAAAATATATTTTTGGCATAATACCACAGATAATAATGTAACCTCAACGTACATTATCAGAAGGCCGTGCCAGTCTATGTCAATGTGAGTGACTGATCCTTAGAACACAGAACATCACTTTATTGTCCAAAGTCACAAGATGTCACTCAATTTCAAGATGAGGAGACATAGCCTCCACCTCCAGATAGGACAATTAAGAACACATTATAACACTTCACCAAAAAAGACATTCAGATGGCAAACAAACACATGAAGAAATGGTCAAAATTCCTACCTCTAAGAGAATGCGAATCAAAACAATTATGAGATATCATCTCACCCCAGTAAGAATAACAAAATTCAAAAGAGCAGCAAACAACAAATGCTAGTGAGGTTGTGGAGAGACTGGAACTCTTATTCACTGTTGGTGGGAGTGTAAAATGGTGCGACCACTATTGAAGGCAGTATGGCGCTTTCCCAAAAAGTTGCAAATAGGATATCATTTGACCAGGCAATTTCACTACTGGGAATATACCTTAAAGAAACCAGAACTGCCACCCAAACAGATATATGCACACCCATGCTTATTGCTGCTTTGTTCACAATAGCAAAGAGTTGGAAACAACCCAAGTGCCCATCAACAAATGAATGGATAGAAAAGCTGTGATATATTCACATAGTGAAATACTATGCAGCACTGAAAACCAAGGAATTAATAAAATATTATACAAAATGGGTGACCATGGAGGACATTATGCTGAGTGAAATATCTCAGTCACAAAAGGTCAAATACTGCATAATGCCACTGTTACAAAACAGGACTGACATGGGAGTTGGGGGAAAACTAAGAAAGGGGGTAAATGATGTACACTTCATTAAAGCAGAAGAGGGAGAGAACTGTTTAAAAAGAATATATGAGGGGCGCAGGCTGAAAATCGCCTGTGACTTCATCCATAGCCACTGGTGAGAGTCAGCGCCCAGAGCCATCAGGGGCTTTAAGCTCGTTGCCCACTGCTGTGGTGTGAACAGCTGAACCCAGGCCCCGATAGGCACCTGGGGGGGGGGGAACCCCAGACTCTACTTCATGCTCTGCTGGAGAAGGAGGGGCAGTCTCCTGTACCAGTCAGATCCAATCTGACAGTACACACACACACACACACACACACGCACACACACACACACACACACACGCTTTTTCTTCTTCTTTTTTAAAAAAAGACTACTTCAGCCGTCGTGGCCCTCTGCCCGGGGCAGGCTGCCCTTGGCCCCCAGCCCGGGGCGAGCCGTCACGGCCCTCTGCCCGGGGCGGGCCATCGCCGCCCTCTGCCAGGGTCGAGCCATCGTGGCCTTCTGCCCGGGGCGGGCTGCGCTTGGCCCCCGGCTCAGGGCGAACTGTCGCTGTCACGGCCCTCAGGAGCAAGAAGGCAAGCAGCTGTAACCCAAGACCACCAGTAAGGTGATAAAGCGTCCTCCCTTCCCCCCTTTATATCTACGCCCCTGTTCAGCATGAAGAAGCCAGAGAGTCGGCATCCAATTCCCAAATCAATAAGACAGTTGGTTTAATTACTATTGGAAAATGCTTGTCATTCCTCTGTAGCATCTGGTCTCCACTGGACCCTCATCATTTCCTTCACCTGCTCCCCCCACAGACCAAACTGTGCAGCTCTGCAACTGCATCCTGGACCATCCTCACCCTTCTGCCCCCAACCCTCACCTCCTTGTACCCCCAATATGTTTTTCCCAATAAAAAAATTAATAATAAAAAGAATATATGATTAGGTATTATTTGCATGACAAGAGTCCAGAATAAGAGCTGCATAGTAAAGTGGGCTGGGGGGGGGCGGGGACATTGTATATAACAATGAAAGAGCTTTCTTCTTTTTTCAAAGAGAAAAGTGAACTTGGGGGAGGGCTGAGCAGGGAGGGAAATGTGCAACAATGAATGAATGGAAAAAAATAAAATATTTTTTTAAAATAGTAAAAAAAAAAAAGATAATACATTGTAAGAAGAGCAGTTAGTGATCTCCCCACCACCATTAAAGCAGAATCAAGAGAATGTAAGGCACTCCTTTTGCTCCAGCTATACCTGAGACAGAAAGAGCCATGACCGAACTAGAGACTTGACACGAGATGGGACTTAGGGAGGGAGAGCTAATATTGGCATGATTGAGTACTTGGCTGGATAACTAGAGGTGGGAAACCAATATTGGCAGGACTGAGAACTTGGGAATGCTGGCCCAAAGCCACAAGTCTTGGGGCTCAGGTGCCCATGCGCACATTTTGGGAGCTGTCTTGATTGTATTCTGCTACTAACCTGGATTGCGACCTCCTGACTGTCCTAAAAAAAAAAAGAAAAAAGAGCAGGTTGGATGGGAGATATTTTTGGAGCTGTCCACAGAAAATATAATAAGCCCCATTTGATTCTCTCTCTGAGTGAAAAACGTCATTTAATGGGGGCAAGACAGTGGCATTAACCAACTTCAATAAGATTACTGACTACTGTTTTGAGAACAGAATACAAGATGTCTAGGGCAAAAGCAGAAGACAATTTGGGGTCTTCCTGTTAGAGGCTGACCTAGCTGTTCCTGCATTCCCATGACGCACACCCAAGTGAAGGGGGCAGGAAGTAATGGAACGGTGGTGTAGTGGGTCTATTTTTCAAAATGGCTTTTCTAGGCTATTACCCTTGACTTTACCACACGGTTGGGTAGGAACGTCAAAATAGGATATGTTAGTCTATCCAGCAGGGGATTGGCTAGTTTCTCACCATTTCACCAGGTTTGAATAGAGCAGGTTCAGGGGCAGAAATTGGGGAATCTGAAAACTAGCAAGAAAGAGGAAGCAGGGAATGCAGTGCTTGTTCTTTGGAGCCAGATTCCTGTGCTGCTCAGATCAAAACCTACTAGAAAGCAGCAGCCGCTTCAGTAGAGAACCAGAGACACGACGTGAGACAGAACTGACTTTGGAATTGCTGCCTCAGAGCTAGGAACCTTCGCCCAATCTTGTTGGAGGACTAGGGGTGTGGCAGAGATGTCTTAATTGGCAATACTAAGAGAGCTTTATAACACTGGTCTAAAGCCATAAGATTGAAGTCTGAAGGGCCTGTGAGCACACCTTAGAAGCTGTCCTAAAAAAAAAAAAAAAGATTATCTTATTAACAGTATTTATTTCTCTTTCCTCAGTCAAACCCTGAGCCAAACACTTTACCCAGGCTGCCTGGGAAGTTACAGGGAAAGGAACACATAGGGTAGATGAAACATGAGGGGGAGAAAACCAACAAAATATGGGAGGCGGAGATGGCTCCTTCACATGGCAAAGAGGATCAGAAAGGCCACCATCAGGCAAAAGAGCCCCATGGCCTCTGAGAGGGGAAAGCCCAGAATGGCATAGGAGAAGAGCTGCTGCTCCAGAGAAGGATTCCTGGAATAACCAATGATGAGGCTCCCAAACACAGTCTCAATCCCAGCTCCAGAGCCAGCCACTCCGACCATGGCAGCCGCAGCCCCAATAAACTTGGCTGCTGTGTCAATATCCCTTGAGATAGTGCTGGTTTGGAAGCTGCGACTAGGGATAAATGAAATCAAGGAAAGTGGGGCTGTCAAGCAGCTGAAGTTCTCATCTCTCAGTGTCTCTGGTCGTTTCAGGACCACTGCAGACAATGGACAGCTCAGCAGCTGAGAGTCACTGCTGACCAGGGAAGGGGTGGAGACAACCTTGGTGCAGGCAATGCATTTTCAGAGGATGAGGGGCTGTGGCAGGAAAACTGCTCCTAGTGCAGAGAAGACAGAGAGGGGAACCTAAAAATTAAAAAAAAATAATAATAATTGAAACTATCATGACTGAGAAATTGTATCCTCTTATTGACTTGAATTGTAACCTGTTAACTTTCATAATAAAACTCATAATCGTGAGTATGTTTCTGTAAGATCTGTGTAGCTCCTGCAACTGATTTCAGACCCAGAAGAATAGTAGAATTGTTGCTGGAATTAGTAGATACAGGTAAGGGAGCTGGGGGACATGTCTGACCTCATGGAAATTACTTTTGTGTTATGGATGGCAGTTCCCCCTCAAAGAATTAGTAGTGGTCAGGCTTGACTGTCTCCACGCCACTCTTTTGCAGTGACTTTAGATTAACTCTATGAGATTTGTAGGTTCACCTGTGGCTTTACGAACCATCTTCACTCTGAGAACCCTGCGATGTAACTTCTGGCCCTACCTTCCTTGATTTATGTCTCCATTGCTCACCAGCTGTCCCTCCATAAGTAGCTCGTAGGAATCTCAAAGGCAATGCAGCCAAACACCTGTGCACCCTGCTCTCTCTGTTGCAGTATATGGCTTTACTTTCACTTTCTCACTGTCTCAAGTCAAAGCCTACTGTTTTTAGGTGTTTGAGGTTGCCTTTGACTCTCAGCAGCCTTGTGTATAACATAACAAAATAACACCTAGCTAAGGGGAATTGTCATCTTTACAGGTCTCCCCTCATCCCTAATCTAGACAGGTCCAGTGGGTTCTCTCCAGAACCATCCTGATCTTGCCTGCTCCACCCTGCAGTCCCTCCACGCCATCACCTTCTCTGGTTGGTTTCTGCTCTTTCTTTCCCACATACAGTCTGGTGGCACAAGTAGACCATGTCACCTTTCACCATCAGACTCTCTAGAGCTTCCCACAGCCCGAGGATTAGAATCCGAGTGCTCCCTTGAGAAACCAAGTGGGCATGACAATACTCACATTTAAAAGGTAAAATGCTGTCTTATTTTTCTATCAAAACCAAACTTTATTAAAAAATCACCACAAAACATTGAAGTCAAATAATGACGATGATGATTTTCTGTGTGAATACAGAGATAGGCTCGTCAGGGACAATTGTCTCCCATGTACAGAAAGAGCAGCTGAATCACAGGTCAGCAGGGTGACATCCTCACAATTGGACAGAGAAAACTGTAGGGGGACCACTGGGCTACAGGCAAACCTGCTGTATAAACCAGTCTCTCTTCCAAAGAGTGTGAGAAGGATGGAGTTGCCATGTAGATGAACATTTCCCCAAAGCTGGGGACTACTTAGCCACAGGTCTTTGCCACCGCTGTCTTCTCTTCCATCCTCCTTCCAGGAGCGTCTTAACAGTTAACACTTCCAGGCAGCCTCAGACCCAGAAGAGGAAGTGCGGGGAGCACTGGGAAAGCTAGTTTTAGGAAAGCTAGCTATCTGGAGGTTCCAGCCTTCAAGAAGCTATAAGGGAGCTAAACAGAAACTAATCTTTAAACGATAACTCTCTGTGTCCCTCTTCCCCTCATTGCTTGTAATCCTTAAGCAACTATATGCCTCTGTACTTTCTGTTCTAGATATTTCATACTAATGGAGTCAGAAAATATTTGTTCTTTTGTGTGTGGCTTTTCTAACTGAGCACAATATTTTCATGGTTCAGTCATGTCTAAGCATGTACAGACTGAACTCCTTTTATGGTAAATTACACTCCATTGTATGGATCTACCACAACTTACTCATCTATTTAGCTGCTGACAGACACTTGCTGCAATACAATGAATTACTTCATGGGCCCTTTTAGCCATAGCTCTGTAACTCCTATCAAATGACTGGGTGGGACTATGCAAATGAGGTGCTTATGGTCCAGCAAGGAGATTGGATAACTTGCTAGTAGTATAAATAAGGTGCATATCACTCTTGGTTGTTGATTATTTTTGCTTAATTAGAAACTCTATTAAAACTCTATTACAACACAATGCAATCTTGTCCACCCCAGGACTATCCTCATAATCTCTGCAGCATATAATTCCACTGTTGCAGCCACTGTGCTAATCCATCTGTTGAAGGTCTTGCTCTTTTTCACTGATCCTCTAATTTACTAAACATGATGTCTTTGTTCAGTGATTGTTCCCTTCTGATAACATATCCAAAACGAGTGAAAGGATGCTTAGAAGCATCCTCATGGGAGCTCTGGTGGCCTACTGGCAAGACGCTGCATTGCAATCCCAGAGGTATGCAGTTCAAATTCACCAGATGCTCTGCTGGAGGAAAGGCAATCGCCTCCTGTACCAGTCAGATCCAATTTGACAGCACACACACACAAAAATAATACAATAATTTTTTTAAAAAAGAAGAAGCTATAGGCCCTGAGAGGCTTTGTGTCCCTAGCAATCCTCTAATCCCTTCAAAGGCTCCCCTCTGACACCAGATCCCTGGCTAGCTCACCCCACTGTGTCCTCAGAGCAGGGTTGGCCCCTCTGCTCAGCAAAAGCTCTGTAGTGGAGTCATGGTGTGATTCCATAGAGAGGTGCAGGGGAGTCTTGTGAAGCCAGCCTGCAGCATTGACCTGTGCACCCTTGTCCAGGAGGTGGCTGGCAACCTCGACGTGACCTCCCCGAGCAGCGTGGTGTAGGGGTGTGAGGCTCAGTGAGTCCTGAGCTTCCACCTCAGCACTGTGTGCTACCAGTAGTTGGACCACAGCCAGGTGTCCAGCAGCAGCAGCCCGGTGGAGTGGGGAGCGGCCATGTCTGTCCTGAAGGCTGGGGTCGGCCTCATGGCCAAGCAGCACCTCTACATCCTGCAAGAGGAGAAAAGATTAGTGGAGGGCAAGAAGTGGCTTTGCTCCAGGTCCAATAAAGGGTGGGGCCATGTAGTGTTTGACCAGACTCCTTTTCCTTCTACTTTTAACAAATGAGTTTGACAAATGAGATGCAACAGGAGAAGCTCTGTTTGGAATTTTCCATCCCCACCACACTCCCCACACCTTCCCATCCTCTGGTCTAGAAGTAAAATTCAAGTATGTACAGTGGTCCCACCACAACCTCTCTATTGCCTGAGGCTTGGACCAAGTGCAGCCCTGCGCTCTAGAGTGAAAACAGTGCTAGGCCACATGCCCTACACCAGATGCCTGATAAGGCAGATAAGAAGTAAAAAACACCAGGAAGACAAGTTAGGAAGGCCCTCAGGGTTGGGCCTTGGAGTCTGCCCCTGCCCCACTCACCAGCTCCAAATGACACCTCCCAGACTACTACTTTGGGCCACAAGAACTCTGCCTCCTCTGCCTCCTGCACTCCCTGTTGTTGTTGTTGTTAAGTGCCATCCAGTGGTAGGCAACTCATACCAACCCTATGAATGAAAGTCCTCAACATTGTGTGACTTTCATCCTTTCTCCAGGTTCATAGGGTTTCTGGAGACAAGCTATTTTGGAAGCGGATGCCACTCCTGCTTCCAAGCTTGTTTTAATTGTGGAGTTCCACCAAACACTGTCCACCATGAGTAACGATTAATGCATTTGACACATCAGTGTCACAGTGTTCAGCTTCACAGCAACCACAAGTTACCTCTGAATGGCAGGACTATAAGACCTAGAAGAATGTTTGAACAAAAACAATGAAAAACAGGCCTGAGGGCCGCAGATTACAAGTCACCCACCTTTGGCTTGGTAGCATCACTTTCTCTCCACTAGGCCAATGGATCTCTCTCTAGGTTGGTGTTATTATTTTTAAGTGCCAGACGTGTTAAAGGGCCAGAAACTTCCCAGTCCTCTGTGATCCCAAACGCGTATCTCTTCAGCTGTATCCCTCACCAGCAGACCTTAGGGCTCCTGGCCCTCCGCTCCCTAAACCTGTGCAAGCACTAAGGGGAGGGGAGGGCATACCTGCTGGTGGCCCAAGGCTGCAGCGATGCCGAGTGCAGTGGCCCCAGTGCCGTCCTGGGCATTCACAGGCGCCCCGCGCGCCAGCAGAAGACGCAGCGCTGCCCCACGCCCGGCCTCGGCCGCTACGAGCAGTGCGCCGTCGGGGCCCGGGCAGCCAACAGCCAGCAGCAGTTCGAGCACCGGCAGCTGATCTCCTGCCGCTGCCCAGTGGGCCGCCGTCCAGCCGTGGGCATCCACCGCCGCAGCTAGCGCTGCGGGACCCGGGCTCGGCGCGCCCAGCAGACGGCTGGCCAGAAGCGGGCGGCCCAACGCGGCGGCCCAGTGCAGCGGCGTGAGGCCCGCCCCGCAGCGCGCCGCCGCCGGAGCTCCACGGCGCAGCAGCAGCTCGGCCAGCCGCGAATGCCCGGGCCAGGCAGCCTCGTGCAGTGGTGTGCGGCCTGCACTGTCCGGGACACCGGCGGGGGCCCCGCGTCGCAGCAGGAGGCGCACCAGGGGCGCGTGGCCGCGCAGCACAGCCAGGTGGAGCGGACTGCGGCCGTCGCTGTCCCTGCGGATGGGGACGGAGGGCAGGGTCTGCGCTGGTCCGTGACTGGACCCCGCCCCTGCTCAGGGAAGGGGTCCTGCCCTCGTCCACTTGGAGACTCTACCCCTTCTCCACCAACTCCCAATCACAGGAAGGGATTTCTTGGGAGCCAACCTGGCTGGGCTCACCTCTCGTCTACGCTGGCACCCTGCCGAAGCAGCTGCGTCACCAGGCTTGCCTGGCCCTGCCACACAGCCTGGAACAGGGGACTCCAGCCCAGCGGGGCACAGGCCCCCTCAGTCCCTGCATCCACGGTCACCAGGGAACCTAACTTCAGCCACCGCAATTCCAGCGCTGCCTCAGCTTTGGCAGAGGTCTGCTCTCCCAGCTCCTGCTGGAAATGGGTCTGGGGAAGATGGGCACAACACTGAAGTGGACAGAGGCCTGGAAAACCCAGCCCAGGCTGTCCTCAGGCCAACAAAGGGATTCATCCATGCCCTGGTCCCCTAAGGGGCTTGACACTCAGTTACCCCCAGAGGCAGCTGGCTCAGGGGCTCAAAGCTCCCATCAGCCGGGCTTCTCTCTGCCCCAGGGTCCTTTTCGGCTCCTGGTATCCTCTCCATGCTGCTTGGGGCCCTGAGCACACACGCTCAGTGTACTCTTCTCAGGCAGCTGCTCCAGGCTTGTCTGAGTGGGTGGTCTCAGAGCTGCAGGTGTTAGAGGGAGAAGAGCTGGCACCTGCCACCTCCTGCCTCACTGTTTACCCAGCAACTTAAAAGAATGCCATACCTCCCCGGCCTGCCCCTCCCCATCCCAGCCTCTCTCCGAGGGAACAATGGCCATCAGGTTGTGAAGGACAGGCAGGAACATGCCCTCTCTGGACAGCAGCTTCTCTGTCACTTTGCCCTCACCCCCCAGGAAGCATATGATATGCCTTGTCTTGCCTCTGGGGTGCCCCCCCACAGGAACCTCTGTGTCTCTATGTTGGGCTTTGCTGCTGAGACCCCACCCCTCACTTTTGCCTGAAGGACTGGGAGGTGTGGAGAGGGTGGGCTGCAGAGGGACCATCATTCCTACACAAGTGCTGCTGTGGCGCCAGCAGGAGACCCAGGGAGAGGGTGTGGGCAGGGAGCTTGAGGCAATCAGCTGAGGTTGTGAAGGGGCAGAGCCAGAAGTGGGGTGAGGGGTGAGTAATTTCTGGGAGAGCAGCCCCCTAGGGTGCTTCTGGGATGAGAGGGGGATGACACTGCAGGAGAAAAAGGATCTGAGCTCAGTCTTCAGAGACCACCTTGTTCCAGGTCCTGGGGTAGATGGTGAGTGGAAGCTGGCCCTGAGGCTGCCTCCCAGGGCACAGCCAAGTGCTCATATCCTAGACCAAGCTCAGCTAAGGGGGAACACCAGGACTGCTAGGAGAACAAACAGGTTTGTCCTGGAGAGGGTGAAGCCGGAGTGCTCCTTGGAGGCAAGGATTCTGAAGCTTCATCTAACATACTTTGGACATGTTGCAAGGAGGGACTGGTCCTTGGAGAGGGACATCATATTTGGGAGAGTGGAGGGACAGCCCAGGAGAGGAAGACCCTCGATGAGATGGATTGATTCTGTGACTGGAGTGGTGGGAATGAGTGTGTTTGAGACGGCGAGGTTGGAACAGGATAGAACCGCATTTAGGGCTCTTGTACATAGGGTTGCTTTGAGTTGCAAGCTACTCGATGGCACATAACAACAACAATAATAAGCAAAGAGTTGAAAACATACAATGTTTACTTATCTCTGCCAATGAGTCTAGGAGTAAGTGCAACTAGGATGCTCTTTACAGGTAAAGATGAAACCTTGTTTCATATACTTTGGGTATGTTTGTTAGAACGGACCAGTGCATGAGGAGAGGTGGAGGGCCAGAGAAAAAGAGGAAAACCCTCAATAAAATGGATTGGCACAGGGACTCAAGTATATCAGAGATAGAACAATGGGCTCAGGTATATGAGAGATTGTGAGGATGGCACAAGACAGGACAAGGTCCAGATGCATTATTCATAGAGTATGAGCAGTAGTCAACCTGATGACACCTAGCAACCACAACAGCAATCTTCTTGTCATTCTCTCTGTATTGGTTTCCTAGGAGTGCTGTGGCAAAGTTTTGCAAGACTGCCTCCAAATTCTACAGGAATATCTTCCCCCCATATTTTAGAAGTCAGGGTTAGCTCCCCAGAGGGAAAGTCCCTCAAGATTAATATTTGCAGAAAGACAAAAAAATTGACCCAGATACAAATTAGAAGACATTATTGTTGTTATGTTCTATCAAGCCTTCTACAATGTATAGGGACTCTGTGAACAACAGATCTGAACTCTTCCCTATCCTGGGCCATCCTAACCAGCTCAAATAAACGTTAGACCATAGTTACAGTCACCATGCCTATCCATCTTGTTGAGGGTCTTCCTCTCTTTCATGGACTCTCCACCTTTCTAACCAGGATATCCCTCTCCAAAGACTGACCCCTCTTAACATCCCCAAAGTATTTGAGAAGACATGTCATCATCTTTACCTCAAAGACATTCATTTTAGTTTATTAGCAGAGGAAAATTTAGAAGCCAGGAGAAACTTATTGCAAGGGCCCAGCAGCAGTGACAAACTGAAACAGATGGAATTCCACTAAGGGTGGACAAAGTAGCTAACTAGTTTATACCCTTACGTGAACAATCCCCTGCATATACAAACCTCAGATATACAATAAAAAGTTAAAAACTCTACAAGCTGAGGGAGCTCTGGTGGCCTGGTGGCAAGAAGCTGGGCTGCAATCCCAAAGGCAAGTGCTTCGAAGTGGAGAAGGAGGGCAGTCTCCTCCTGTGCTTGTCAGATCCAATTCGACTGCACACACACATACACACAAAAAAATTACACAGCTGAAAAATACTAAGGTCACAATGTTTCCTCCGAAGAAAAAGTCATTACAAATTAGATCTATATATCTAGTTCTGAAGGCATAGCTAAAACAATAAAGGGAAGGTTCCGTTTGCCCCAGAGTTACTCATTAAGACAAGAAATGAGAAGAACAAGTCTAATAAGAACTCAACTAGCTTAGCATAAGTGCAGCCATTTGGGGGCATTTTGATAGACAGTTTCTTGTGATTCCAGAGTTTGTTGGCTTGTAGATGCATCTTCACATGGTCACCCTTCTTCTGTCTGTCTCTCTTTGTGTCTCTTTTCCTCTTCATAAGGGTTTTATGGTGGCACAATTAGGACTTAGCCTACTCAGTATTATCTGTTTGTCATACTGTGGCGATTATATATGATTGCAATGTTAGAAGTTATGCAACCAATATTTCAAATACCAGCAGCATCACCCATGGTAGACAAGTTTCAGCAGTGCTTTCAGACGAAGAAAGATGAGAACAAAAGCTTAATGTTGTAGTTCTGGCAAAAGAACAATCAAATCTGTCTTGTACAAAGGCATCGATTATTCTATCTTCCTTATTCATGAGACAACTTTCAAATGCGTAGAACACAATTGAAAATATCACACCTTGAATCAGGCCTACCTTAGCTGCTAAACTGATATCTCTGCTTGCTTGTTCTTTAGCACTTTGGAGAGTCGTTAACAGCAGATTTTCCCAGTGTTACATGTCTTTTGATTTCTTGACTGCTGCTAGGACGGATGTTGACTGTGGCTCCAAGTAAAATGAAATTATTGACAACTTCAATCTTTACTCCATCTATCATGATGTTGCCTATTGGTCTGGGGTGAGGATTTTGTTTTCTTAATGTTGAAATGTAATCCATATTAAAGACTGTTGTTGTTGTTATGTGCCATCGAGTCGCTTGTGACTCATAGCAACCCTATGTACAACAGCCCTAAACTCTGCTCTGTCTTGTGCCAATTGCACTGTCTCTGACACTCCTCCCATCCCGATTATCCCAGTCATTGAATCAATCCACTTCATAGAGGGCCTTCCCCTCCTGCGCTGTCCCTCCACCCTCCCAAGCATGATGTCCTTCTCCAAGGACCGGTCTCTCCTCACAACATGTCCAGAGTATGTTAGACGGAGCCTCAGAATCCTTGCCTCCAAGGAGCCACCCGATTTAACCCTTTCCAGGACAAATCTGTTTGTTTTCCTCCCAGTCCATGGTATTCTCAATACTCTTCTCCAGCACCACAGCTCAAAGGCATCAGTTCTCCTTCTGTCCTCCTTGGTCATTGTCCAACTCTCTGATGCATAACAACTGATTGCGAAGACCATGGCCTCTATCAGATGCACCTTAGTCTCCGGAGAGACACCATTGCTCTTCAGTACTTTGGAGAGGTCCCTAACAGCAGACTTTCCCATGGCAATGCGCCTTTTAATTTCCTGGCTGCTGGTGCCAAGACTGTTGACTATGGAGCCGAGCAAACTAAAGCTGTAGTCTTTAATTTTTTGAAGTACTTCAAATCTTCAGTTTCTGCAAGCAAACTTGAGTTCCCTGTAAGACACAGGTTGTTGATGAGCCTTTCTCCAAACCTGATGCCACATTCTTCTTCAAATAGTCCAACTTCTTGAATTATTTGCTCAGCATGCAAATTGAGTATAGAAAGGATACCCTTCAGTATAAATTACACCTCAAACTAAAGAAAACAAAAGTTCTTGGAACCAGACCAACATGCAACATTGTAAGAGTCCTGATAAAGAATGAAATTGTCAAAGACTTAATTTTCCTTTGATTGACAAACAACGCCCATAGAAGCAGCAGTCTAGAAATTAAACAAACTGTTGCAGGGGACAATTCTGCTTCAAAGGAATCACTTTAAAATTCTAACAAGCAAGGATATTTCTTTGAGACTAAAGTGCATTTGCCCCCAGCCATGGTTTTTCAATTGCATCAGAAGCTTTCAAAAGCTAGACAATAAATAATTAAGACTGAAGAAATATCGATGCCTCTGAATTATGATATTGGTGAAGAATAGTGACCATACCATGGACTGACAGAAGAAAGGACTGATCTTGAAAGAGGTGCAACCAAAATACTTCTTAGAAGTAAGGATGCATCTTTTTTTAAAAAAATAATATTTTTTTGTGCATGTACAATCAAATCATATCTGACAGGTACAGGAGGAGATTGTCTCTCCTCCAGCAGAGTATCTGGTGGATTTGAACCACGCACCCCCGGGATTGCAGTGCAGCTTCTTGTCACTAAGCCACCAGAGCTCCCATGAGGATGCTTCTAAGCATCCTTTCACTCGTTTTGGATATGTTATCAGAAGGGAACAATCACTGAACAAAGACATCATGTTTAGTAAATTAGAGGATCAGTGAAAAAGAGCAAGACCTTCAACAGATGGATTAGCACAGTGGCTGCAACAGTGGAATTAAACACTGCAGAGATTATGAGGACAGTCCTGGGGTGGACAAGATTGCACTGTGTTGTAATAGAGTTTTAACAGAGTTTCTAATTAAGCAAAAATAATCAATAACCAAGATTGATATGCACCTTATTTCTATTAGTAGCAAGTTATCCAATCTCCTTGCTGGACCATAAGCACCTTATTTACATAGTCCCACCCAGTAATTTGATAGGAGTTACACAGACTATGGTTAAAAGGGCACAAGAAAAAAAAAAAAAGAAAAAAAAAGGGCACATGAAGTAATTCATTGT